CTGACAAACCTACTATTGGCTAGGGAAGACTGGGTTGAAGCCAGAGATGAAAACCATCTGTTGGACGTGGTTTTTATTGATCTTAGCAAGGCATTCAACAAAGTATCCCACTTAGGTCTCCTTAGTAAACTTAAAGGTTTCGGACTAGACCAATGCCTATGCGAGTGGTTTAGAGATTGCTTAATGGATAGAAGGCAGAAGGTTAGAGTTAACGGTTTACTATCAGGATGGAAAGCAGTATCCAGTGGGGTTCCCCAGGGAACTTTATTAGGCCCCTTGCTATTCCTATTATACGTTGACGAATTACCAGGGATTCTTACTTCATCTTCATTATTATTTGCAGACGACATTAAGATCTGGAAAACTGTAAATAATAACGATGATAGGTCGGTCCTACATACTGATTTAGATAAATTAGCTGAGTGGTCAAGCCTATGGAGTTTCGAAATGAATGTTAGGAAAAGCGCGGTAATGCACCTAGATCAGAAGTCTTATACGTCGTACTCCCTAGGGGACACAGAACTACCTGATGTTAACGAACAGAAGGACCTATGAATCATTGTCAGCAATGATTTGAAAACAGCTGCAAATTGCAATGCAGCCGCAGCTAAAGCTTTTCGAATGCTATGGGCAATCCGAAGGGCTTTCAAACGATTAGACGAGGGCATGTTCCAAATACTCTACGCAACATATATCAGGCCTCGTCTAGGATACTGCATACAAGCGGCAAGCCCATGCTTCAAAAAGGAGGCACATATTCTTGAAAGAGTACAGAGAGTAGGAACAAAATTAGTTAGTGGTATCTCACACCATCCTTATGATAAGAGGATGGGGCATTTAAATCTGTTCCCGTTATCATACCGAAGGAAGAGAGGCGACTTAATTTTAGCATACCGTATACTTAAGGGTGATTTGGGAACTGACCTTTCTAACCTTTTCTCCCCTTCTAGGATACATTTAAGGGGTCACCGCAAATGGGTGCTCAAACTGAGGACGATTAAAATATGTGCAGAACTTAGATTCTCTCACAGAGTTGTCAACGACTGGAACTCATTACCACATTCAGTAGTATCAGCTCCATCGGTAAACGCATTCAAACAGAAGTTAGATCTCTGCAGAGATATATTTCGCAAGGATTAACACAGGCCACAAGAGCCTTCGTCTGACTCAACCGCTTCTCCACTAATGGTTATGAGTGACGGTATACCACTGCTAGTTTTAGTCCTACGTTTGATATATGAGTATAGCCTTTTTGGGTAATGAACGCAATCTAGTACTAGCCGTCTCTCGTACTCTATACGACTCTTGTTAATCGCATACTTACAGAGGTTTCGAATTCTGCGGTAGTCTTTCTGGAAATTTTCCCTTCCTGTCATAATAAATTGGTTCCATAAGTTCTTTCGCCGTCTTAATAGCCTCTTTATTTCACTAGTGATCCAAGGTGGCTTATGCGATAGCTTTTGAGGAGTGTACCAAGGTATAAAAGGTTAAGTGACACGATCTAGTGTATTCCTAAATCCTACCCAAGCTTCCTCGACTGTCTGACTTGTATTAACTGACCAGTCAACCGCAGTTGCTGCGTTCCGGATTCCTTGTATATCCGCTTTCCAAATGTTTGGACGAGCAGATTTTGACCTGTGTATGAGAGAATGAATCTTAAGCGTAAAAGAAATGACTATGTGGGGTCACTGCTGCCAAGCGGCGGAAGGCACCTAATGTTACCAACGTCCTCCTTCTGGTGTGTTAATACCAAGTCTAGAGTAGATGGATCATGTTCAGGACAATACCGTGTTGGTGCATGCATATGTTGCACGAGTGCACATTCAAGCACTGTCAATGTGAGCTCCCTATTGAAACAGGTATACAAACTAGTGGAGTTTAATTCCCCCCAATTAATATGTGGAGCATTAAAGTCGCCAACAACCAGACACCTATTTCTACTACCCCACGCCCTCAAGTGATTTAGAACGAAGTCATCAGCTTGGCTAGCAGGACTTCTGTAAATAACTCCGATCGTTAAAGTGCCTTTAGTCAAGTTAATGACGCAACTGGCGGCTTCACTGGTGCCGCTGTCATGAGCTTCTGACAACGTTGACCTGGTCCCTATATCATCCCAGATGTATAGAGCAACCCCTCCCCCGCCTTTCCGACTACATACTCTGTCTGCTCGTATGCAGATATACCCAGGTATGAGTGGAGTTAAGTCTACACCTACTAACAACCATGTCTCAGTGATAGCAATCACATCAGATAATTCTTCTAATTTGGCGAGCTTATTCCTAAGACTACATGCGTTCGTATAGCACACCGAAACACCTACGTGTTCATCCGGCTTATGAAGAGAGGTCTCGGCACCACCGGTTTCCGAGACCTCACCACCCGAAAACCCAATAGCTTGAGGTCTTTTTCGCCTTTCTCTAGCCTGGCCTTTAGTTCAGCCACGGCTTCTCTTCTCTTGATTCTATCTTCTAAAGGCCAATCAGGCCTTATTTTTAAACTTTTATCCTTGATTTTGAACGCGACGTTGAGGATGGTGCTCCTCTCTGTTTCGTTCCCTAAAACTATCTTAAGTAGTCGTCGTGAGGTTTCTGTAGCATCAGGGTTTCGTTTTCCGATCCTGATGACCTTTTCTTATGTGAACTCCAATTGTTTTTTCGGGAAGTATTACCCGGATAATGGAGCTAACCGCCTTCAGATCGTCTGCATATCGGGCAGCTGGATCTGTGTTCTTAGATTCCTCCAAATTCCAGATGATAACACTGTAACTAGAGTCCGTGGGTTTCTGAATTTGCCTGGTACTAACAGCCGTCGAGACCTTGTTGGTAAACTCGGTTACTGTTTCTTTCTTACGTTTATTTTGCTTCTTACCTGTCGGCACCAACCAAGTGGAGTCGGTCTCTCCTACTCTGTTTTCGCCGCGACTAGAAGCCATTCGTGCACTAGACACGCTGCGCTTTGGCTTGGTCATTTCACAGGCTGGTGTTGCCATACTGGCACTACTTGCCCTTTTAGATTTCCGTTGTTTTTTGCGCTTTGCAGCAACAGATATTTTGGCACTCTGTGCTTCTTTTGCTTCTGAGGCTTCAGGAGATGATGCTCTCAGTCTTACAACTAAGTCCTGAACCGCCATCCTTGGCTAAGGTTTCTGGTGCAGGCTTTTTAATTATGTCTTTCGACAATCTCTTGGACATCAGGAGTCCTACTTCCTCTTGGATGAGAACATCCAACGGGTTACTGCAAAATTTGCACAGCCATGGAGATGATGGCTTGCAACATCTCTTATAGGCTACTGGTGATAAACCAGTGCAAACTTCGTGGAACCATAGGCTTCAGTTGTCACACTGCATCCCATCATCCACCGGAAAGTGGCAGTCCCGTCGTCCACAGTTGTTAGTTGAGCCCATAACTCTACACAAATATACAGACGTGATAAAAGCTAGGTAAATACCAACCAAAACACAAAAAGTGGATAAAATAAACAACACTTCAACTAAATAAATCAGTTAAAGTGAACTAAAAAGCTTCTGATTTTTTTCAAATGTCTTCTGATGTGGTTTAAACAACAAAAGCTGAATTTACTTCACGGCTTTAAAAATGCTACTGTTCTTTTTCAACTCTAGCGCGTTATCATGGTCGTCGAAGTTCGGTCTATGGTGTAATGCCGTGTAATATGGTTTGTGTTCAGGTTGTTAGTAGCTATGACTCAGAGGTCTGACTTGGAGTATTAGTTGGAGGAGACAATTCAGTGATGTCCCGCTGCAGTGGGGTTATAACCTTTCGTCAGTTCAGATGGCTTGGACATGTGCTGTTTTGCACTTTGACCAAATCTTTCCTTTGCATTTATCTCTTTTCTCTACCATTATGTGTTGTTTATGAAATGTGGCAAGGTGAACTGTTGTATTTCTGCAGACTCAAACAGCGTCTGTATAAAAGGCTTAGAGTTGGAATGGCTAAAATAGATGTATTTAGCGATTAATTATTGCAGCGAAATTAGGGAAAATGACTGACATACAGAAAAGGTTGGTACACACATTTTTTGATTAAATAAGCATGATATAAACATACAGTGGATGAGCAAAAGGAAATGAACTGTTTTAACACAAGTGCATGGCGTTTGCCATATTGGACTGATCCTTTTTACATTAGGATATCATTAGTTTGGTGAGATTTTAGTGATGTTTCCCTAATTTATATGTCAGATACTCTTGTTTAAAACTTTACTGGCGGTGTTCTTATGTGTGCATGATTTGCTGATGTTCAGACTAACGCGACTCAAAAGCCTTAATTAGGTTTTAATTTTATGTAGTTTGCAAAATTTGGCACTGACTAGTTTTTTGCTGCAACAACACTTACAGTCCTTGAATGTTTGAGTGCTGCACAAGAATTTGATGTACTGCTTATCACTAATATTTCTTTCACCATTCACATCATTGTTTTGAAAAATCAGATATACAGTTGTGCAACTTGGGAAAAAAGTCGTCGAAGTTCTCTTTGCTGAGTTACTTGTCTTCTTTTCCTATATGCCCTGATCTGAGTTTTTCGTGAAATACTGGAGTAACCAAATAATATGCTTGGCAGTTTTAACGAGTTAGGAAATTGTGCAGTTATGAGCGGAATACAAAGCTAGGATTTTTCATTCATGGGAGTAAACACTGAGTAATCAACCTTTTTCACCCTGTTGCATAGTGATCAAAAAGATATTCGTTTTTTACACTAATCCTTTCATCATTAATCACTGCAGCATTTATACTTTTTTCATAAACATTTATTTTAGGAACTATTAAGTTGTACAGATTGATGTATCACACCTTTAAGCCACAACTAAACAATGCCGGCGGACTGGTCTATTATTAAATGTGTTTGCTTGGACGTAGATTCTACAGTTTGTGTTGATGAAGGATTAGACGAACTGGCCACTTACTTAGGAGTTAGTGATCAAGTTAAAGTGATGTAGTATACGATTCCATTACTTATGAGATTTGAACAGCACTGAGAAGGCTATGAGTGGGGAATTAGATTTCACTCAGGCCTTTGAAGCTCGTTTATCAATGATGAACCTGACTAAGAAGAAACTGGATGAATTTATGGACAATTACCCAGTTAAACTGACACCGGGAATTGAGTGAGTTTAGTTTGTTTTGTTTAAATACGTTCTTCAGAAATAAGTTTTCATATCGTCATTTTCACTTTTAGAAGTTATCTAGTAGTATCCAGCGTGACTTCCTTGTCCTAAAATTGCTTGTACAAGAATTAGATGGCTTAGCAAACGTTCATTTTGCTTGAATAAAGGTTAACAAGCATTCTTTTAGTAGTGTATTGGCTAGAAATATTTCTTCTAAGAATATCTATTTGTATTATCTGGTTACATAAATAATATGTAACCACAGATGTTTCTCCTTGAGAATGTAATTATAATGGTAAATTGTGTCTACGAAATCAGATTCGTGTAGTTGTCAGTGTTAGTTATTTATTAATGTGGACAAGAGGTATGTTTCTGAATTTGAAACAAGTTCTCGTTCACCAAGGGAGATACCTTATTAAACCTTAGCTCTGTATTAAGAAATGTAGAAAGTCTTGATGACACCTAATTTACTTTAGAAAAATGCATATAAGAATAAAGGTGGACATTTCACGATGGTGAGGATTATTCGTAATTCAAATGACTTTGTGTTGCGCAGTGATCGTCAGCATTTAACGTGTGTCACGTCAGCGTACGTAGACAATTAAGAACCTGAGTCATAAAATATAGGAATGCTGAGTAGGAATGGGAAATTTAAAGAATTTTTCTAAACTTAGTTCTCAGGCTGACCAATAATCAGTAAATTACCTGTCAGACGGTTAAAATATGAAAGACAATATGAACAGATTAGTGGAATAAAACTTCGAAATACGCATACACTTTGTAACAATAGGAATACAGAAACACTTAATAAGGTACATCACAGATTTTGAGGACAAGTTAGTAAGCCGCTCTTAGAAAGATTCCCTTTTGTTCCTTAAATCTTTGCAGTCGCACCACCAGTCGATGAAAGTACGAGGGGTATTACTATTAATGCTATTGTTATTATTAAAACACGAGCTTGGTACATTATGGTTACCAAGGGATGCACCGCACAAATCTCATATTTTGTGCGAGGACTGAGATACTGCTAGGACACTCAGATCGAGGCAGGTGGTTGTCTTAAACGGCCACTCCTCAGCCTTTGACCTGGAGTCTGACTCACAAGGTAGTGGAGCAGCTCCAGGGGCTGCGTTCCGGTGACTTCTGGTGACTGAAACGGGGCCATATGCCATTCTGTCCGTTGGGGCTCTGGAGCCCATGTATACCATAGGTTCAAAACCAGGCTTTTCCTCCTCCCTTAGTTTGACCAACATATCTACCAGTCCGGTTGTAAGCGCCAGACGTTTGCATTCTCCTCTTCACTCTTGTTAGTAACACTCCCGCCTCATGAAGACAGTGAATAGGAGTTGTATGGCAGAGACTATTGAAGCGTAGCCATTTGAAAGCATTTCAAGAGGGAGACTAGAGTCTACCTACCTCAACTGTACTAGAACTTTTATAGGAGGTGCAAGGGGTATTATAGATTTCAGTTGTGATCCAAATGCAAGTATTACTTCCAAGACAGTTTTTGCGTTATTTACAGCAGGCGTCTAGAAAAAGGGTAAAATCTGTTTAGGTATCTGTTTGTGTAACAGATAGTCGTTTTTTATACGATTTTAACTTCTGGGCCAGACATGTCACAGTTAGTTGCTTGATTGTTATATATATATATATATATATATATATATATATATATATATATCTTTTGTGAAGTAACATTTCGTCGTAACTACCAGTAAATAATACTCGTATGGAATAATGACAGTGCTTACTATACAACAGTGGATTGTTGAGCCTAATTTTAAAAATCTATATTTAAACAGAAACCTTATCCAACAGTTCAAAGAGAATGGAGTTCATATTTATCTGGTTAGTGGAGGATTATATCCATTGGTTAGCCGCGTAGCAAAGGTGTTAAATATTCCTGAAGAAAATATTTACGCAAACAAACTAATTTTCACTGATGAAGGTAATGTTAGTTCGATATTCTCTCCTAATTTTATATACGCATGTATTATGTGACTACTTAGTCTGTATGGCTAGTAGAAATTTCCCGTCCCATTCATTCTTTCTCAGCCATAGTGTGCGCTGCAAGTGTTTATTGTTATCTATCTTACCGTATCTATGCCAGTAAATTTTTAGCATAAATGATATTCAGTTAGTTGGGATTCGTTTACTTGACACTAAATTTAGTTCTTAACCTGGCTTTGTGAAAATCATCTGTAGTTTCTGCTCTACGGAGTTTTGTTGCATGCAGCACTTTATGTCACTTTATGTGGTCACCATCAGAATACTAACAGCTGTTATCATTATGATCGTAATACAGTTCTAGGCTTTTCTTTAGGCTGAACATTAGTGACTTCTCTTTTTATGTAAAATACGGGATTGACTTCAATGATAATACGTCAATAAAGCTAATGCTTTGTAGTTTCCTCAACGTAATAGTTTTATGTAAATTTCCTAAAAATGAACAAACGATTCTGTTTTGTGTGTAGATCACTTCGATATGGCTAGCCAGTACTACTGCTTTACCTGAGTGGTATCCGACTACTTATATCAATCGGTCAGTAGTATAAAGAGTGACAAATGATTCCCTTATGTCGACTTGCTTAAAGTCATTCATATATCTCTTCTATCATGCTTTCATCGCATATTAGGACTCGCGCTGACCATGCACATGGTCCGAGGTTCGATCCCCTGCCGACACACACCTGATATCTATGGTCGACCTGCAAAATTGGGGCTACCGATATCCATGCTGAAAATTCCATACTTGTACCAAAAATACGGTGTGCAATCAAGCTGTAATCAAAAATAATAAATAAAATTAATTTCATAAAGCGGCAGCAGATGTGGATAATTTCAAGGTATAATTGTATCAAAAGATTTATAGCCGATAGTTTGCATTCTTCGAATTCAACACACTGTAACCTCTTTCTAGGAGCATACTGATTCTACAAGAGATATTTTTTTCTTGGATGGTATTGGTATATTCAGTAAGCCAAAATTTTTATGCTGATTTCACCTGTTAAAAATAAAAAAAGCATGTATCGTAAATTTTCTGAGAATAAATTCATTCCTTCTGTCAATACACATGCATTGTTTTGTGAAATATCCTTTATATTTGCTTCAATTATGTTCACACTAATTTTCCAGCCATAGTTTTAGGACGTAACAATTCTACCATAAAAATTTCGTTTTTCATTAATGAAAGCAATAAAATCAAAGCGTTTTTTTGTTGTATGTAGATTTTTCTCAAGAGGCACGTTTTATTTTTTTCTGGAACATTACATGCTAGGGATATTTAGGTTGATTTTTAACACTTGGGTAATCAACTACTGACTTCGTTTCATTGGTTTTCGTCACTAGAATTACGCATATACCTGTGTTGATTTTATTTTATCCCTCAGAAGTTTTGATTCATGACCGTCGGAGGTGGAGAATATGAAATACCAGCTGTCTATGACCACGGATGTTCGCATTCTGTCTACCGTGTTAAGTGGTTTAATATGGTGACCGATATTGAGGTAGACATAGAGTCAATTAGGTTGTGAATCCACATCGATTGAGATTGCTTGGAGACATGTTATACATGTTCAATTGCAGAGTTTCTCGACGACCAATTTTAGCTAACATAGGATTAGATTGTAAAATAGTTAGGTGGCCAAACCAAAATCTGGTAGTAGTTCATAAAGTCTTTGACTGTTAGTTTGGGCCAGTTAAGGAAGTGTAGACTGCCTGGTTAGGATCCGTGAAATGCTAAGAATCTATGGCCTGAAACTGTTCGTGATATGATTCAAAATCGTTCTCAGGCATGCACAGCTGAATTCACTCTGTAATCCATTGATCCCTCATATTTTTTCTATTACTATTCTTTTTTTATGCACATTTGTGCTTATTATATTTCTTTTGGATGCCTTTTCTCCCTCTCTTCTCTGCCTTTGTTTACAATATGGAGTGTGGTAACTTGAAGTGTTGCACTTCCATGCAAATTGCTCTATTGAAACTCAGTCAGTCAGTGTTGCATATGTCAACTTCAACTGTGACACCCCATCATATTTCGGTGTATCATATTGTTTCCCAGTTTGCTTAAAACAAAATTATTATTAACATCATGTCATAAGATAATAATTTTTCGGCCTGAAGTCCTGTTCTATTCCTACTAAATTCACAACAACTTAGGTAACTCAGCACTGCTAACACCTTGTTTATATTTCAAAAGATTTCTTCAGTCAAAAGCGATATTTGTACAGCTCAGTTTATTCATTTACTTTATTTATTTTTATTTTATTTTTGATTACAGCTTGATTCCACACTATATTTTTGGTACAAGTATGGAATTTTCAGCAGGGATATCGGTAGCCCAAATTTTGCAGGTCGACCATAGATATCAGGTGTGCGTCGGCAGGGGATCGAACCTCGGACCATATGCATAGTCGGCGAGAGTCCTAACCATTGTGCCACCGACGCACATATTGAATAAAATTCAATAATCCATAGTAGTAGTAATAATGATAATTACCATAGGTAGAAGAGAACAATGCTATTTAAAGTAATGGTTAAGAGATAGAGAGCTGTGAAGAAAACTATATATTTTTATTAAGTCTATGTAAAGCAGTCAGTTATTTAAGTGAGTAAAATTGAAACGAAGAAAGAAAAACATGGAATGTCTATATCTCAACGGTCCTGATAGTGAAACTTTATACTTTGATTTCGATTATATTTTTTCCACTGTGTATATGTTATAATTATGTTGTACTTCCCATTATTTTGAAGCTGATTAGCTGCTGCATAGTCTATTGCCTTCCTCTTCTACCTTCATTTGAACGGAATGAAGATAGTCACTGTGCAGGTTACTTTACTATGTGTGTAAATAGGTCTTGTAATAAACAAACTGGGAACTTTTGTAAAATAAACATGTGGTCTGTTTAACTTACAAGTAGACACAAGCAGTATACAGAGGATAACCTTCTCGTGGAGATTAACTGATAATTTCTGCCATTGGAAAAGCCAATGAAGAGGAACTGTGAAAAGAAGATAACAATTTTAAGAAACACTTAATAGGCGATGGATAATTGTGCGTCGGTGGCACAGTGGTTAGGACTCTCGCCGACCATGCACATGGTCCGGGGTTCGAGCCCGCACCGACGCACATCTGATATCTATGGTCGGCCTGCAAAATTTGGGCTACCGATATCCATGCTGAAAATTCCATACTTGTACCAAAAATACAGTGTGGAATCAAGCTGTAAATCAAAAAAAAAATTACGTGCACAATACTAAATTTATGGTTTTATTGGCAAATATTATACTTTGCCTCAATAAATAGTAAATCGTCCCCCACCGGTCTTGTTCTCTTTAATAATACGTTGGTATGTTAGAATAGCTGTAAAATTTGAGCATTGTATTGATTTTTAAATTAGAATCACAGAATGCATTAATCTGTCCCTTTACTATTATTATAATTATATTACAGGCACTTATAGTGGATTCGATCACAGTGAACCAACAAGTCGATCAAATGGTAAATCTTTAGTCGTTGCTGAATTAATGAATAAATTACAAACATCAGTTATGATTATTGGTGATGGGATGACAGATGCAAATGCATGTCCACCAGCTGAAGTATTTATTGGTTTTGGCGTAAATGTAATTCGTCCTACTGTACAAAATATTTCCACCTATTTTTGTACATCTGTAAATGAATTAATTGAATTGTTAAAGACTAATAAAATGTTGAAATAATGGGTTTATTTCTCATTAACTTGTATCTATTTGCTAGGGTATATTTTCCTTTCTAATGTTTTTAGTATTAAGTAAGAGAGGTGGTCATTTCGTATCAAGAAAATTCTATTCAAAGAAAGAACTGAACATGTGTTTATTATTATTATTATTCCCTTGGGTTCCGAGAGGAAGATAGGGCTTCAACAACATATCTCCACTTTGTTCTACTCTCTACCGTCCTTTCCAGCTGTGTCCGTGATCTCTGATCTCCTCTTCACACGATCTCCATGTCACCCTTACACTGCCCAATCCATCTCCATTTTCTCCTACATATTTGTTGAGCGATCGGCTCTTGGTTAGGTTGTTCCCAGCCTCAGTTTCGTGTTGCTAATTCTTCCTAGCTAGCCGTTTGATCTTCAGTATGCGAGGAAAGCTATTGATAAAAGTCTGCAGCTGGCTGTTGGAAATGCTTTACGTGATGCGCAGTGCAAGTTTCTGACCCATACAGAAGAACTGTCTGACTCAACATTTTTGTCGAAAATCCGAATCTTGTTCTTTGTGCTGCTGAATGCTGAAGATTTAGAAACTGGTTTCAGGTTGACGAAGGTGCATCTTGCCTTTCCGATTCTGGCTAGCTGACTTTGACATCTTCCGTTGCGACTGCCTGTGATTGAAACCGCGCTTTCTATCCGGATAAGTAAAGGAAGGAACCTCTGTCAAATCTCAACCGTTGATGGTAATTAGCGCTGGTTATTGTCGCTGCTGGTTGGTTATCTTCATCACCTGCTTCTTCTCTATGTTCATCTGGAGTCCTGTCTTTGCTGCTTCCTCATCCAGTCTTTTGGTTTTCGCCTTCATCTTCGAGTTTGTGTGCCGTTAGACACTAATCACTCTCGAAATCCAGATCTCCTAGAGTCTTCTTAATGGTGGTCCGGTGTATTCCTTTCTCCTCAATTCCAACATGTAGTCCAGTCCAACACAATTAGGAATATCATCGGTGATTATAGACAGGCGGCCTTGTCTTACTCCTGTGTTCACTTCGAGCGCCTCGCTGAGTTTTCCATTGTGGAACACCTGACACATGTCGTTGTCATATAGCTGTGGTTGAATGAGGGTGATAAACATTTGGGTTAGTGCGCACCGTAGTGTCGAAGTAGTTTCCAAATTACTTCTTGGTCAGCGCTGTCTGTCTACAGCCTTTTCGAAGTAGATGTTTGGAGATAGGGAGAGGTTTGACTGCCATTCTATGCTTTGTTCTATGATGATGATGTGTGGAGTTGCAATTTGATCAGCACATGATTCGCCTTTCCTGAATCCAGCTTGTTCACGGTGGGAGTTGGGTGACGTTCTGCATCCAGTGCTTGTTTTATTCTCTTAAGGATGATGCGACGTTTTTTTCTTTGGTGTGGAAAAGAGCATTATTGAATACCACTTCTAGCAGAGTGAGGCGTGAGTCGCCCTTCTTCCAATCAGTAGTCACCTGACAACAATGTTTTGTTACGTATTATATGTAAGAACGTTTTGTTTTACCAAAATGCCGTACTAAATAAAGAGTGGTTGCAATGTTTGTTTTTGTTTTAAGGATTTGATTATCAAGAGATGGTGACATCCCATCTTATTTGGTCAGCAAGATAATGTGTCAGCTGTGTCAGACGCACAATTTCTGAAATCGCAACCATAGACTTAACATGTACTCAACATGAATATGCTTTATTTCACTGCCTCTTTCTGCCAACACCATTGGTCATAAAAACGTCATTTAGGAAATATTCAAAACTGCATACCCAAAACTTATTACATTAGAAGTTGTAAGGTAGTTTCATGAATTTAATAAGACTTCTACCGCTTAGTAGGATACGCTTTGGTGTTTGAAACTATGGTCACTGGGTTCGAGCCTCGGTGGGAACATCATCACTCACTGCGGAATGCAGGCAAATCCAGCTGACGAGTCCCAAATAGGACGAGATGCGCATTCTGGATTCCACTGCTAGTCACCATCCACCAATTGACGTTTACCTTGCTTAAATATAATACAGAATCTCTTTTGCATAGAACTATATACTAGTGATTGATAAAGATGAGTAGGTACATACAATTCATACCAACCAGCAGTGGTTGCTAGCCAGATTGAGGTGATTTAAACACCGGACGGTTGTTTCGCTAATTTGAGGCTGAGTTCATCAGTGGTGTTCCCGGTGTGACTCATCTCAAAGAACCGAATCAGTTCAAACCACCAGACTTCTGCCTAGCTACTTACTCGAACTGGTTATACCATGAATCAAATTGACAATTTTTAATTTATACAGTACACCTCGATCTGACTAGCAAGTACCGCTGGATGATAGCAGTATTATGTAACCATTTATTGCAATCAATCAGCAGTATGTGGTTTCATGTAAATTTGGTTATTTTCTTGATTACAATTTATAGTATCAAGCAAATCACACATTGTGATCGGAATAACTTGGTTTCCAAAGAAAGCTACAGTGGAATTTCATCTCTCAAACTTTTTAAATTGTGAACCTACAATCTCACGTGTGCAAGTCATACTATGGAGATTCAATACTCATTATAATTTGTTCCCTACGTTCTAAGTGGTACATAGGCCTTCAGCATCATAGTTCCGTTACTCTTGGATCTCTGCTATCATTTTTAACTCTCTCCACCACTGCTCACAAGCTTTCATCTCATCGTCATACAATTTGCATGTCTCTTGATCCCACACCCAACCTGTCACATCCCACTCGGGTTCCATTAGAAGGCTTGACGTGTGATGTCTTTTGAATGTTTCCTTAGTGCACGTCCAGTTCATCTGCATTTTCTTCAGCATGCTTGTTAGACAGTATATCGTTGGCTGGTTAGCTGCGAGATTTCCTCGATGTCAATCCTTCCTGATCAACCATCTCATTTTCACCATAGAGTAAACGCGTCTGTTGGTGAAAACCTGCAGCAGATTGTTGGAAATGCTATCGATTAAATCCTCAACTCTGATTATCCACTTTTGGTGGGTGCATATAATTCTTAGATATCATAAACTTAGACGCCACTTGTTTGAAACTGGCATATACCTCTGACAGATCATTTTAGTATTCTACTGTCATTTATGAAGTCGATCTGCATAAATTGTGTGGTGTTCATTACTTCAAGTTCCTTTGAACTTTTACTTCATCGATGTTATCGAATTGTAAGTTGTGAAATTATCATATTTTCATTTCACTTATAGGTTATGACTTTAAGGCTATTTTTATGGAGAACAAGCAACAAATGTTAAAAATCAGGACTTAATGAATTCATCAAATTTCGGTAGAAATCTGCATCCGAATACTCTATATACAGAGACATATATACTATCGAAAATACATCGGGAGATATAAGATTCATAAATAAGTAAACTACATTGAATTAATCATGCAAAACGACATGTCAGTGCCTTTCAGGTAGATAAAAGGAAGGCAGTATGAGAGATTAAAATTGAGATAATAATGCATTATGCTTCAGTTACATCACTTAGATAAACAATCAGTCATTAGAGGAAGAACTTAATATATCAAGAATTGCGAAATGAGTAATAATAATAATAATAATAAAAGTAGTTGTAATAATAATGCTGAAACAAATTAAGATAATGCTACTGATAAGAGATAGTTTTAAGTGAATCAGCAGTAATAATAAGAGGTAGAATAAAGTGTTAATAATAATAATAACAGTTATCAAGTGAGATGTACTACCACAGTAAATCCAGAGTGATGACCATTTTATTTTGTACACAGAGACCTAGTTTATAAAGTCTAATTGCACAGGCCACCGCAAATATAGACATCTTCCTGTTTCTTTGTCTGTTGACAACAGTGGATGACTTGACAGCGTCGATATCGCGTTCGTAGTCCACAAGATGCTTCGTTATTGAACACTTAATCTAGCTGTTTTCAACCACTTGGGCAAATGCACCGTCATACGAGTAGACAATCACTTTTCTGTGCGACCTATGCATTTACTTCCATAAACACTCACAAACTGAAATATTCTAGATTTCATCATGAGCTGACATTAGTTAGAGAACCATTGGAAAACCTGGGAGTACTGGACAGCTGTTTCGTCCTAGTTTGGGACTCTTCAGCAGTACGCACCCACTGGGATTCGAAATATTCTATTTGAAGTATCGGGGGATAGTGGCTGGCCTTTCGCAGATTGTTGAAACATTCATTTGGTGGTGAAAAGGTGGATGATTTTCGCAGCACAATTAGTCCTCTTGATAGCTTTATCGAGTCTTCGTCTGACAACTTCTTGTACATCATCTCCTTTGAATGGCAAATTGATTTCTTCGGAACTGTTTCGTTGGTTTTGCAGGGGCTCATTTCTTTAAAGTATTTATTGATAAGCCTTTTAGAATATCCATTCCTAGACAAAATATCCTTCGGAGACTTGGTTTCGTGTCCAGTTGTACTGTCAGAACAAATTTTTCATGCTCTATTGAACAGTGTTCCAAGTTCTTTTAATGCTGGATTGAAAAAAACTTTTGAAATGTATGTATAGTCCTGTCCCTGAAGACTTTCTAAATGTACATCGTTTGACTGTGCCATCCATCCTCTTCACTAGAGAAACGTCTAATAATTTAAAAGTACTGTTTTCCTCGTGGTCCGTTGTGAATTTAAGATTCGAATAGCGTGAGTTGAGTTTTATCAACAGGTCTTCAGCTTTTGAACTGCTTTCACAGGCAATAAAAATATCATCAACATATCCTCAGGTATACGTCCGTTTGTTGTACATGTTGCTACAAAATTCTGGCTTCTAGGCCTAACAAGAATAGATATGCAAAAACTGGTCCCAAGAGGCTTCTCATTGTGACACCATCAACCTGAGGGGATAGACGTCCATCAAATTGGAATTGGTCACTTTGAGTACATAAAAGTAATCGTTTCTTCAATTCCGATGTTGGAATGGGTATGTCTTCAGCTTCTCTACTTATAAAGTCAATAGTCTCAACGACTGACACATTTACGAATAGAGAGGTAACATTGAAA